TTCTCAGAGTGTTGATTATATGCTCATATTATGAATTAAAATTTAGATTAAGTTAAGTTGTATTATTTCTAATTTTATGCTTGGTGATTAAAATCATAATTCAAATATACCTCTCTAAAATGAATATGGCTTGAACGGAGACAAACTTTTGTAAGATGCTTGGGGTTTATATTTATTTTAGTTTATTTTGAAACTGCATAACTTCTTGATAACTCGGTATTAAATAGCCAATACAATTAACAATTTATTATTCCAGTTTTTGAAAACCTTTTAACTCTTTTTTGGAATTGCTAATTGAAAAACCATCTAGGTTGATATTTAGAATTTAGAAAAACAATTGTGAGAGTTTTTAAAGGCGAATAGTTCATTCTTTAAAGTGAACAATAGAGATGTCGCGAATTCGAACCTGCGCTACTACACTTAATATTTCTGCACAGCTATCAATTCAACATAATCAATTGAGTCATAAAATTAAAGTTTAATAATATTAACGATCTTTGAATTTGGCACTCGGTACTTTACTCCGGAGATATATTTCCAGAACAATTTGGAGCATAAGTCGCACTAGACTCTTCTACTCTCTCACACTTCTCAAGATACACTTATCAAACTCTTCTTAACATAAAATTTCAACTTCTTCACAACATCAAATTTCCTGAAACAAGGCGCAAAGGAATATCAAACATCATCAAAACCATAAATTTCAAGTAAATTTTTGAGTTTTCAGATAAATTTTGAGTTTTAGTGTAAATGTGCAGAAATCAATGATTAAGGTTAGAAATGTATATGAATTGTATGTAACATAGTCTTCAAAATGACGATCAGATCATATTTTTTCAATTTGCATGAGTCACATTACGCCATCTTTGCGACCTCTGAGTTGCAGAATTTTCTGGAGATACATCTCTGAAATAGTTCAGCATTTCATATACTTTGGGGATTTCCGGAGATGTATCTCCGAAACTCTTCAAAGTTAATAGTTTTGAGGTGTTTCCGAAGATGCATTTCAGAATTGTTCAACGTTATTGTTGTATGGTGTTTCCGGAGATGCATCGCTGGAATTTCCTGCACTCTGTTTTTTTATTTCCTTATTTGTTTGTTTTGTTTACGTACACTAATGATATGCTTATTTTACCTTGTAGTCATAATGGCTGACACAGTCGACAGACAGAGATATGGCAGGGTAGCCCAGCAGACATTCGTTCGGCGGGAACTGAGTCAGTGGGTTCCAGAGGCAGGAGGTACCTCTGGTCAGGCAGAGGCGTCGACTTTTAGGGCGCATTCTACTTTTGGGGATCGTTTTCCACCTTAGGTCACTCCACTTTTTCTTCTTCCTGTAGGAGACTGGATTCACCAACTAACGTGTCACTTCCCCCATCCTTTTGTAGACGTCATGATTTACCGGTGTCACCTCCTTCTGATCCAGTGTCGCCTCTCACTGATGATCCTGTTGATCCAGTGTCGCCTCCAAATGATAAAGTTGTTGCGGATGCCGAACCAAAGGGTTTTGGAGAAGGTCCATCTAATTTGTCCTTACTTCCTCTGTAACTAAACCACACTGCCAGACATATATGGGATAGAGAGATAGCATTAGTTGGATTTTTTATTTATTTTTTACGTTAATTTAATTTGCTGACATTGACTATTTCTGACATTGATTATTTTTGAAAATTTTCAAGTGTGTGATCCTCAGAAGTTTCTGAACCATGGGAGGAAGATTGTTGGCTTAGCTCAACCGAATGAGGATTGGTTTTAGCCGGTTCTACCTTAACTGGGTTGAAGGACCTATGCATGATCGGATACACTCTAGTCAACCACGTGATGCTTAATGCATTCGTGGAGAGATAGCATTCTGAGACCTCTTTTTTTCATCTCCTGCATGGTGAGATGTCTATCACACTGGATGATATTTAGAGTTTATTACATCTTCCAGTCAGGGGGAGATTCCTCGGTCATGGTAGGATGACCAAAGACAAAACAGTCGAGATGATGGTAGAGCGTCTGAGGGTTGATCCAGAAAAGGCGAATGAGGAAGTGAATAGGACCAGGGATGCTCATGCTAGATTTGAGTTCCTGAAGGAAAGATATGATGATGAGATCCTTGTTGCACAGCAGGCTCATGGTGATGTTGAGCAAATGGCCTTATATATGACTCATGATTTGAGGGTATATTTTCTTTTTTTTTGTTGGAACTTGCATTTTTGTGAACACGAATGTCACTTATACTGACGTTGCATACCTCTAGTACTTCTTGGATCTCACTCAGATCCATGAGTACAACTAGAGGCGGCTTTCTTGGCTATATTTATTTGAAGTTAAGAGATGTATATCGATGGAACAGGAAGCAGGTCACAGGAAGTGTGACACTATTGGTGGTAATAATTCTTGATCCTTGATTTTTTTGTCATTTTCATTTCATATTTGCGAAATCATTGTCGATAATTATTGATCCTTGAATTTTATTTATTTATTTTCATTTCAGTCTTGGATCCTCCGGCACTTTCCACGCATCGCTGGCTAGGCGGGTGTGGATGCCCTGTGCATGTACTTTTATCCCGCTGAAAGGGAACCAGGCGGTCGAACCTTTTAGAGTCTACCTTTATTGTTTGGTTTCTGAGGACATACACTTCGACAGCTATGCGGATCACCGTCAGACCGGTCATTTGACGAGATTTCGTTATACTCGAATGGTTGGCCCGCGGATCGCGTATCACTGCTCCTCACCTGCCCAAGTGCGTCATACGAAAGTTTGGGTACACCCAGACCATCCTCAGATACCCTGTTGTCTCTGCTATTCTTGCCTTCTCGTAGACAGATAGATAAGATGTTTGTTAACTATGAGAGTCATTTAGTATCGAATGAGGCACAGGCTACTATAACGTCGAATGACTAGAGCTACGTCGGCTCATACATCAAGTGGTTCTTCAGGGTGTCACATTCGTACATGGTGCAGACTGCTCCAGAAGATCCGCCGAGACCAGCTCACCAGGAGATACTTAAGGAGGAGCAGGCCCAGTTAGATCATATTGATGATGTCTTGCCTCACTGTTGTCGCATAGTGGAGATTGCACGAGCAGACATTGACGAGGGTATCCTTCCTGAGAGGTCTACTGTCAGGCGAATCCTGGATGCCATGTTGACGGAGGCACATGGGACACTGTTGTACCGGAGACATCGCCGAAGGACGCGAGAGATTGATAGTCTAGGAGGTAAAGGAGGCAGAGGAGATGTTGTCAGGCACACTCAGTAGTCGTCTGTTATTATTTTGTTGTATTACTATACTATCTACTTTATTTTTACAGTTTTATCACATTTTGAATCTATATTGTATGATATTTTTTACATATATTGTTATACTTCATTCAGTATTTGTCTCTTATTATTTTGTACGTCTATTTTTTTTATTCGAGGTCGTGCTTCATAGTTCATCTGAAAACAAATACACAACTTATAGTCAAAAACAAATTATTCTTATACACTTCAGAGATGTATTTTTGGAATATTATCGTATATGCATCTCCAGAACAATTCACATATAAATGGTATTTGAGTGACATGTTTTGAATGTTTAAAATGGTTCCGGTGATATATCTCTAAAATATGTCAACGTTTATTCAGAAATGAGGTGCGTCCGGAGATATATCTTCAAAATTAGAAGGCATATATGAAAATTCACATGGTGTATAAGAAACATCTAGGCGGAAAAATAAACTCTCAAATTAGTCTAAATTAGTTCCTCTCTAAAATCCTTCCACAAATTGAACAAGTGAATTATGGGCCTTTCCAAATCCAATTTGGCTAATTGAATGCAAATGTCCTAAAAATTACTTTGAACTTCGAAACATGTTTACCCGTCCATGCCATTTGATCATCCTTGTTAAATGATGGTAATTTCACTTTCTTCACAGACAGACAAAATTCATCCAGAGATGCTCTCTTATAATATCGTGCAACAAGTTTCCTCAAGAATTCACTCTTTTATAATATCGATGCTATCTTTAACATATTATAGATGTGACTCGGCCTCAGTAAGCCTCTCTCGCTTTTTTGGTGACATAAATAATAGCAGGTCGGACCATAGATGTGACTCGGCCTCAGTAAACCTCTCTCGCTTTTTTGGTGACATAAATAATGGCAGGTCGGACCAATTAATAAAATAGAGAACCCAAACAAAACAAAGACAAAATCTAATTACTATTTCACCTAGATTATCTTAACAACATGTAACCTCTAATCTCACAACATCCATCATTTGACCAATTGAAGGCTTAAATTAAATCATTATTAGCCATCGCCAAAGTTTGTATGTCATCTTTAATGAATCAAAAACAACTTTTTTTTATCTCAAACTATACACACCATCCACACTTTCAAGTGCTTCTTCCAATCCTATAACAGCATATATGCCAACTGTCTCACAACCATCCACATAATTCCATACATCATCACCTCTTACTTTGCACACAATCTCACCAACATCCTCTACAAATCTATCCTCACCTAATGACACTCCAATACCACAAAGCTCTCTTAACTCTCTCTCTCCTCCATCTTATAATCCATCACCCTCGTGACTAACATTGAAGATTCTACAGAAGTGTCAGTAGACTAAATATTAAAAATCTAAGAGACTTGATACCAGATATTCATCCAAAACCTTAAAGCATGACAAAGTTACCTCAATTTGTGACATATAGAACATCATACTACAAGCATGCTCATGGTATATATATAATACAGAACATATTAACACAGAGAACTCTCTGAATATCATTTATACAAATCTGTTATTACATACATATATATAATTTAGAAGGAAACGGAAAAACTGAACAAAAAGTGAGTCTTTTTCAGATTAAATTGCAGTTTCCTTGGTGCACAAAGTTTGCACATTAAGAAAAGACAATAAAATTGCAACAATTGCATGCATAGCATAACAGTCTTATACAGGCATATATAAAATGAGGGAAATTTTCATTATAGTTACCATATAATACACTCTATGACAAGGCATCAGCACCAGCAACAATTTCGAGAATTTCACCGGTGATCTTCGCTTGGCGTTGCCTATTGTAAAGCATTGACAAATCATCCCTCAAATCACTAGCATTATCATAAGCAGTACTCATAGCAGTCATTCTAGCAGCTAATTCGCTAGCCAGCGATTCCTGCAACGCCCTCAAGATTTGACTGTTCAAATAAAGCGGCAAAAGTGCATCAAGAATCTGAACAGGATCCTGCTCAAACTGCAAAATCGGCGAAAAATCTTCTGTCTTAGTTCTAATAACATCTCTTTCAACGGTTAACTTTCCTTCTTTTGTTGTTAACCTGAAAAGCTCATCCTCAGCAGCATCAACACAGTTTCCATTGATATCACAGATTTCACCTTTCGGTGAGAGTGGAAGCAAAGTATGAATTATAGGATTTGATTTCACTAGTGACACAAACTTAGAGTACAAAAGTTCAACTTTATCAACTTCTTCACTAACAAAAAGTGAGAAAACATCATCAGCAATAGCCTGTGCTTCTTTAGCAGTAGGAAGTGATCCACCTACAAGAAACCTATCAACAGGAATAAAAGGTCTACGATTAAAATAAGAGTTACCCTTTTTACCAACACTGATAACAGTGTACTCAAGACCAAGCTCTTTCAACTCAGCAATTCTAATTTCAGCTTTTCTCAATATTGCATTGTTGAATCCACCACAGAGACCTCTATCGCCCGTGCAAACGACGAGAGCGACTTTCTTCACCGGTCTAAGCTTAGTTAGAGGGGATTCAACATCTTCGGTTTGAAGCTGTTCATTGATGCTGTAAAGAACTTCAACAAGTGTCTCTGAAAAAGGTCTGCCATTCACAACAGCTTCTTGAGCTCTTCTGACTTTAGCAGCAGCCACAAGTTTCATTGCCTCGGTGATTTTCTGAGTGTTTTTGACAGAATCGATACGGTTTCTGAGATCTCTGAGACCACACTGGATTGAGGCTGGTCTTGAAGGGGTGCAAGAGGATGAGTTTTGTGAAGGAAGCTGAAAAGGGTTGAAAGCAGAACGGAAGGAGAGGTTGGAAGCATCAGGTAATGAAGGTTTGGAGGAGACTAACATGGCAACATTGGAGCAAGACATTGTTGCAGGTTCTGCAGAATACAGCAGAGAAAGAGAGGGTCGTGTGTTTTGGTTTTGTGATGTCTTATCTTCTAGTAGCTCTCGTGTTAATGTGTTATTTTTCTGATCTGTATTGGGATGGAAGTAAGAGGTGGTGAATGAGTGGAGGGAATGAAAGGAAGTGGATGAGGTTTTGAGATAACGATTTTGAGTTTTGGTTGGAGATAATAGCAAGAGTAGATTTTCATATGTGGGTCCAATCTGATGTGGCTGCTGTGTTGTCTGAGGGTATATGCGGCTGTTCGAATGGTGATTCCTTCTGCATTTAGTAACTCTAAACAGTAAACACCTTTTTTGACAGAACTATATTAGTAACTAAATAACAAAATTTCACAACGATTTTAAACGTCGATCTTCATAATTTACGATATTCATTAACCACAATTTGGATTCAAATATGCATTCATGATCTATGGCAAGAAATGATGCAAAGACATTTATAATTTAACACTTTAAACATATTAATGGTTAATAAGTTAGATACAAATAATAACATGGACATTCCAAGTTGCTATTTCAGGTACAACAAATGTTAATATAATTGCAGCAAAAGTTATTGGCGAGTCTTTGGATCTTACATGTTGGGAGATTAAAATTAGTGAACAGAGTTCTATACAATTCAATAGTTCCAACATGAACTAAATTGTTTTTAAATATTATCCAGTGAACATGACCCAATGAAGATCAATTTTGGCTTCACCTCTCAACATATTTACACTTGAACCCTTGCCAGTAACTATACAAATTTGAAGTCCCAATTCTTCAGACTTCCTTGAAAATACGAAGGATCTTCATCAAAGGACAAAGGGAAGGGAAACTTGTTGTCAATTTCTTTATCTTGTAGCACCTAACCTCTGATTAACTGCCATCCAGCAATTGAAATAATATTAGATGATCATCATCATCATCATCATCAACAAAATAAGCCCAGTTAGTTCAGAATTTAGATGGTGGCATGGTGCATTAATCGTTATCAAAAGTCGTTATCACTCCCACCATGTCCTGAAATCATTAAGAATGAATCCTAGTTGCACTTGACTTGCCAGATAATTAAAATAAATCATCTTCACCATTACTATCATGGTTTGATTTTTTTAACAGTCAGTCCTATATTTGCATTCAATTTGCTACGCCGATTCCTGGGTTTTCGTGGTGTGTTAAACACACGAGGAACTAGGTTTTGTACAATGTCTGCAGTATGACCCTCTTTCGCGACTGCTTTACCAAAAATTTTGAAGTTTCTGGAAGCAGAAGCTTCACCAGTTGTTACCCGCTGATGCACAGCCTTTGATAGTACAGGAGTTTCTGATCTACTTGAGTCTAAACTTAGCCACGACGAACAACTTTTGTCATCCATTCCCATACTATTCAGAGCCGTATTTGGCATAGCATCATTTGTAGGGGGACTAGAATCAACTTGAATATCAGAATTGGCACTTGGGACCACCTAACAAAACAAAGTTAAAAAGGAAGGTTATAAGGGAAGAAAACATATATGCCATATGATTGCAAGGCTAAAAAAGTGTACTTTTCATGTTAAACAATTCAACTTGTTGAAGTTATGTGTTTTAGATGAAAAGATGAGAGAAATAGTAAGAACTTCAAATATTATTGATAATAATTGGATACTAACTTTATACATTTGGGTGAAAACAAAAGACTACATATTATCCATAGTTTATAGGGATACATGTCTCTTCATCCTAATAAATAAATCAAGAAACAAATCACGATAATAACTAATTGATATGGAAACTAAGTTTTGAGAGATAGTCTAAGATTTTGAGATAAGAAAAATCTTAAGAGATAAATTATGGTAATTTAACATGATATCAATATATTAAAAGATATTTTATAATATTCTAATACTCCCCCTCATGCTAAAGTTTACTAATCTTGTTACAGCTTACAAGAAAATAATGCACTGTAAATAAAAAATTAATAGAAAACCAAACAAAAATTGAGCTCCACCGATTACCAAACATAGTCTAACATAATATGAAGATGTTATAGGATATTTTCTAATATTCTAACAATAATCAATAAAAAAAAAGTGACTTTTCATATTATAAATTAATAATCGGTGGTTCAACAAGATGAAAACCCACATTATAAATTAATAATCGGTGGTGAAAATCCACATTATAAATTAATAATCAGTGGTTCAACATGAATTTTGGTATACAAAATATTTAGTTTTGCATTTGAAAGATTGAAGTTGAAGAAAACATTAAAAAATCTATATCTACATAAGAGAAGATCTGTACTATCTCTCACCATTATTGAAATTTGTAAAATATATCTTCCCTCAATATTGATTTTGTCATGTATAATGTAATGTAATACAAGCACACACAGACTATGAAAACAAAACTTACTGAAAAAAATAAAGCAATTACCTTATTTTGTACCTCAGGAGCTTGTTCACAGCCTGAACCATCCTCTTCCTCAGAATCAGCCATCTCCTCACACTCAAACTAAAACAAAGATAAATCAAGGTTATAAGGGAAGAAAAATATTTTTTTTTAAATATTAACCAAGAATATATTATGAACCACCACCAAAGAAGACAATGAGGTGCTGAATGGTACAACACTACAAAGCAAAAAAAAAAAAAACACCACCCAGCATGAAGGTTATTCAACAGAATAAGATTCACATTAATGAACCAAGAAGCAACAGAAACAAATAGTTAATAAATTGATGAAAAACATGTGAATTAAAGCATGGATAAAAAGTTGAATGGTGCAATATTATAAAAAGTTGAAAGGTTATTCAACGGAATAAAATTCGCATTCAGATGGTAATGAACCAAGAAGCAACAGAAACAAATAGTTAATAGATTAATGAAAAACATGAGTTAAAGCACACGTAAACGTTGAAATTAGAGAATTTACATAAAGGAAGATGAATTTACATGTATAACAAATACTTCCTCCGTAACGATTTATAAGCAGAAAACACACATTTTTCTTGTTACAAACTATAAGCAAAAATCATCAACTTTATTTCATTTAAGCATTTCATTCTAAAATATACATCTTTTACAAAGTAAAATTAAATGCAAATTGCATTTAATTTGCTTTGTCTCTCATTTTTTCAATAAACAACAGCCAATTAGAATTGTGTTTACATATTCCCATAAAACATATTCCAAAAAAGACAAATTTAAACTTTCTTAATAAGTGAGAAATATGAGTTTTTGCTTATAAATCGTTACATAGGAGTAAATCATATGTGGGCCTTTTGAGTTTAAACATGGGTCGAAGTATAGCTGAGAACTTCACAAGGATAAAATGAATTTCAAATTTGTCTGCTTAATAAAGAACTATCATGCTGCCATTGACTGGCTAATGTATTAATTACCATCTAATGTAAGGGTCGTGCAAGACAAACAAATAAATAACAGATCAAACTTGGAAAGACATGGATAGGACAGTCTCATAATAGATGTGCAATATAACTTTTGACAAATAATTAAATTCAAGACAAGAAAGTAGATTTTAATGCTAAGCAATGAGGACCAGTGCAGAAAACCAACAAGAAAATTAATAATTAGTGATTCAATGTAAAAACTCTTAGAATTTGAGTTGGGCCTAACTCAATTACAAAACCTGCTTGTAAAGGGAGGGTTGTCCAAACTTCATAAACACTACACAGACCATATCTCTAGGTAGTGTGAGACTAAATCAACCCCTTCAAACCCAACACAATGAAGATGTTTGAGGGTGCAATGAAGGAAACTCATAAGCCACAGTAAGGCGGCTAGGGGCAGACCACAATGAAGGTGGAATTTCCAACAAAAACTAAATAAGAGAAGGTTAAAGTTGAAAAATAAAATAAAACTGTATAAAAGATTTGTGATATTTGTCTCCATTATTGAAATTTGTAAAATGCATTTCGCCTCAATATTGAAATAGAAATTTGTAACATATATAGTAAATACAGAGTCACACACAATTAAATCTAAACTAAACTAACTGCAAAATAAAGCAGCTACCTTATTTTGAACCCCAGGAGCTTGTTCAAATCCTGAACCATCCTCTCCCTCAGAATCAGCCATCTCCTCACACTCAAACTCGACATGTTCTTCAATATCTTCTTCGGAATCACTTAACTCTTCTTGCTCCATCACTATCTCAGGATGAGACTGTTCACCAACATCATCTACATCATATCCGGTAATGTTTTCATCAGGAACGACCAAAGGGGAACTTGAAGCAAGTTCGCAACCTCTAGGCGAAGGAATTCTATCACTCTGCTGACAAATTGGAGCAATCATTGCCGTTGCACAACTAGCTGCGATTTTCTGAGACTCAGGATCATGTTCCTTTAGCTGTATATTTTTCATAGATTTTTCACTTTCTGATAGAGAGCTTAGATGAATCTCCAAGTCAAGTTCATTGGATTTGTCATTAAGGTCAAAAGATCTATTAGTTGTATCAGGCACACCATTACTAACAAGTGGCTCAGCCTGAGTTGCATCAGATCCAGTTTGTACTTGTGTATCATTAGATTTCTGCAGAAGTGGATGAAAATCAATGCCTCCTAACCTTAACGAGGAATTCTTTGACTTCGTAGTTGTGTTAGGACGATCGATGTGCCCATGTTGCTGTGAACTATTGAACAGACTCAGATTTAATTGTGGTTGTCTTCCTGAGAAGAAGCTGAAGGAACTAGAAGGACCAGAACTAATATTAAATGGATAATAAGGTGTGTTACCCTCTTCAGTGACCTGGAACAAAAGAGGATGCATTTGGAGATCAACATAAGTGGCTTTCTCTGCCACAATAGATCTGCCATCGGCAGTTTCAGACCTTTCTAATTGAGAATGTATCACACTGTCTTTTGGCATAGGTCTTGCATGTTTTGCACGGTGATCAACCATAACTTTCTCACTGTGAGGAACTTGAGACACAGAATTATCTTTTCTAACATCAGTGACACCCTCTCCACGAGGA